TATCGACTTATCGTACGATAAATATTGACATGACCGTGATCATTTTTGCGTTATCGACTTATCGTACGATAAATATGGACATGACCGTGATAATGTTTTTGGTATTGACTTATCTGTTTTGGATCCTTAACTCAAACTGTAAAGCATTGCGTTTGTCACTGTACTTTCTATGTGTTATAAATAAAGTTGCTTAAAAAACAACATCCACCGTAGCCGAGTATTAGTGCAGTCAGACTCCATTTCATGTCATAGAATGGACAGTAAAGTTATCCTATCTTATATTTTTTCACTATTCGACCACAGCCCATATCTGCTGTTGGCGGCCTTTAATGTATATTTCTGAGCTAACAGGCTAGTTGACCGTTGTACACATCAGCTCTGTGAGAACAGAGAGGACTCTTAGTGACCTGTTGATGATGTTACTCCCACAGTGAAACCACAGTCAGTCATTCAGTTACTCAACACACGTCTGTAGAGACATTCTTAAGTGTTCTAGTGAACTCATACCTAAGGGTGTCTCTGATGACTGAACCACAGTGTTATAATATCAACATAAAACAGGCCACTAGTTCCGCAATGGTCTCTTAAACTCAACCAGGAGATGGAAACACAGGAGACACGAGGACTCTGTTGCAGGAAAGCAGCTAACTGGCTCTGTGGGTACAATAAGACCAGGCATAGAAAACAATGAAGCCCAGCCAGCTGACATAAAAGGCTGCAGTAATATCCAACATATTGTTACGTGATGGGATTATGGGTATTTTACTGGCGGCGTGGCAGTTTCAGTGATGAAGCACCTTGTGAAACTGGCTTATCTTTCCCTACATAGAGGCATTATTCTATGCATTAGCGGGAATTGTTTTAATATGGTTGTATGATTGATTAACCTCCATGTAATTAAGGATTCATACATGTTATATTCTGTCCCCGGTGTGCATGGATTTGTTTATATCTACCAAATTGTGACACAAATGATTGTCCACAAAAGATGTGACTCGCTTATCAATCAGTGACGTACTCACTCAAATCTAAAATGTAATATGTCAAACAGACACATGCACATTAGAGCAGCAGCTATAAGAACAAAGAACATGGAAGCAGAAGTTACTTTTCTCGGGTTGGACTGAAACCAAAGTTTTGAATTTTGCAGGTGTTAAAGATGTTTAGTTGGATATTGTCTGTCACATTATGTGTGCTCGCTTCTTTTACAGAACAAAGAACAGAACCTAACTTTAATGATTTTCCTGGTTGATGTTTTAAACCATCAATGATTCAAGATTTCTCTCATTTCTCCTCAGCCCACGAGCTGCCATCTGCTCTCTGTTTTCAGAAACAAATAGAACTTCCTTTATTTGAGCGTCTGTGATGTTATGCAACTTACACTTTAGCTGTAATTGTAGAGCAGCACACAGTGTTGCCCACAGACTATTAGGACAGATTAACAGCTGCAGGGAGTGAACCTAAAACCTTTTGGTCTGCAAATTAAACCGACTGAACCCGTGACCCTCGAGAGTTTCCCTCTAAAACAGTGTCAGAAAAGACACAATGCAAGTTGTATAAAGAGCGTGCATGTATGGATACGTATGAAGTGTAATGAAATGTTTAGTGTTAACCAATATGTAAGGGCAAAATTCAGAGCATTAATATAACGGCAAACAGCTATTTTTTACATTTTAATTTCAGCCCTTAAACAAAACAGACATATGACAAATACATTAAAGAAACCCACAACAGCTTTCAACGGTTTTTATTTCTTTCGAGTACTATTGTGTATTAATTCTTGTCAAATGGAGAACAAGGGAGAAGTTCAGCTACAGACCACTCAAAGCAAGAGAGAGATAGAAAAGATCAACTTGCAGACAGCGTCCCAATAATCCTGAATCCAATTCTGAATACATTTCTTCGTCTTGTTGTTCTTCCCCAGAACCCCGACATGCTGACGAGGAAGATACAGCTGTGTCACATCAACGCCCACATCACATGTCGTCTGTGTGATGGCTACCTGATCGACGCCACCACCGTCACAGAGTGCTTACACACCTGTAAGTCTACACACACTCACACACACTTCCTGTCTGCCTACACACCTGTAGGTCTACACACAGGTCTACACACACTCACACACTTCCTGTCTGCTTACACACCTATAGGTCTACACACGCTCACACACTTCCTGTCTGCTTACACACCTGTAGGTCTACACACACTCACACACTTCCTGTCTGCTTACACACCTGTAGGTCTACACACACTCACACACTTCCTGTCTGCCTACACACCTGTAGGTCTACACACACACACACACACACACTTCCTGTCTGCTTACACACCTGTAGGTCTACACACACTCACACTTCCTGTCTGCCTAAACACCTATAGGTCTACACACACTCACACACTTCCTGTCTGCCTAAACACCTATAGGTCTACACACACTCACACACTTCCTGTCTGCTTACACACCTGTAGGTCTACACACACTCACACACTTCCTGTCTGCCTGTTTTTCTTCCCTTCTTCCTTCCATCCTCTCTTCCCTTGTTCCTTTCCTTCTTCCTTCCTTCCATCCTCTCTTCCTTTCCTTCCTTCCTGCCATCATCTCTTCCTTTCTTCCTTCCTTCCTTCCTTCCTTCCATCCTCTCTTCCTTTCTTCCTTCCTTCCTTCCTTCCATCCTCTCTTCCTTTCCTTCCTTCCTGCCATCATCTCTTCCTTTCTTCCTTCCTTCCTTCCTTCCATCCTCTCTTCCTTCCTTCCTTTCTTCCCTTCTTCCTTTCTTCTCTTCTTCCTTGCCCTCTAAACTGTTAAGTTGTAGAAAATGCATTTTAAATGCAGCTGTTGGTGTCTTTGGCATCTTCTCATCCCTCTTATGAAACAAGTTTTAGGTCAGCGCTTCCTCATCTAGCCAGAAACTTCCTGTACAACCAGCGAGGCCTCGTGTGTTTCTGGGTCAGGTCCGACCCAGAATCAGGGGTCTCCCTCGTCCTCAGCCTCAGGTGCCCTTCAGTGCTCACACGGGATCTGAACCGAGCTGAAGTTCTCAGTTTGTTGTTGTGAAGTCAAACTACTGCGAATCAAACGGAGGTCTGTGGGTTGTGAGCTGGAAGGCCTTCTCACCCCCGCCGTCTCTGGAGCTGTTTAATGGAGCTCACACACATTCGTTCCTGGTGCGCTGCATTTGGGTCGCTAAGAATAATCAGTCACACTGGAGCGTGAGCCAACCAGCCGCTCTCCTGCTCGCTTCACATTGAAGCGATACATTTCTGTTTACTTTAAGGGAGAAAAACCTGATCAAGCAGATCAATCCCCTTCACTCAGAGAGCTTATTCTGAAGCTAATGTTTGCAGCATAAAGCACCTCGAATAAGCTTCAAACAAGACACTGAACTAAGCGCCTAAATGGTAAAAAGAGCATGCAGCGTTATGAAAGAATATAACAATAACATTATAGTGAGATAAACCCAGACGGTGTGATACCTCATCTGTCCAGCAGAGGGAGCTCTTCCACCACAGACGGGAGCTCTTCTGCTCACTGTAAACATCCGCGTAGACGCTTTGATTCTCCCTCCTGAGGGTCTCCACCATCACACACCTGAGACAAAGAGATTCACATCACGTCACCGTTGCAGCTGTTCAGTCTGAGCTCCGCTGCAATAACACTGAGACGATGAGTTGAAAAAACTGGTCGGGTGGAGATGGATTTGATGGAGGTATGTTTGTAGGTGCTGCTTCTTAAAACCAGCACCTACATGAAAGTTTACGTAGGTGACAGATCAAATATTTTATGTTTAAACATCATTTTAACATTGGTTTATCGGTCAAAAGTTAGAATCTTGTCGCTGGAGGGGAGGTACAGGAGAACCAGAACCAGGACTGAGAGGGGCAGACTGTCAGCCTGCCGGTACAGATCCCTGTAAATTGCTTATAAAAGAATTGTCACCAAAATGAACTCGTTGGTGCTCTCTGATGGACAAACTGGGTACCAGAGACACATGTACGATTTGAAGTCATTCAGAAACTGTCGGCTGATACAAGAAATGTCAGTACAGAAGTGCCAAACATATATATATATATATATGATGTGTAAGCTAATAACAGCTGGGCTCTAATCATCAGCTATCGATGGTAAAGTTTGCCTGAAGAGAGATTTTTAAATGCTGAATATGTGGTTGAGTTCCTGTGATCAGATTTACTCATCAGATAATCAGGATTAAAACAAACTAAATACACAGCATCATTGTTGGCCAGTGGGTTTATTTATATCAATGTGTATCTTGGAAAGTAACCATATCGTGTGTGTGTGTGTGTGTGTGTGTGTGTGTGTGTGTGTGTGTGTGTGTTTGTGTGTGTGTGTGTCCAGTCTGCAGAAGCTGTCTAGTGAAGTATCTGGAAGAAAACAACACGTGTCCCACGTGTAGGATCGTTATTCATCAGAGCCATCCACTGCAGTACATCGGGTGAGTGACAGAGACACACACACACACACACACACACACACACACACACGTACAGTGAGTTGTTGTCTTTCACTTACATCCTCTTCCATTCTCCTTCTCCACCTACAGTGCACTCCTCTCCTCTCAAGGTTTCTTTGTGCATTCCTCACTCATGAACATATAGCACACACACACACACACACACACACACACACACACACACACACACACCGACAGCTTAGTCAGTGTGCATGAGACAAACAAACTACCAAAGAACAAAGTGCTGCTCAGCCTTTTCCATCTTATTTTCACTCTTTCAGCTGGAAAAACACACACTGGTCAGTCTGCTGAGGGTGTTCTGTATACTTTATATATATATATATATATATATATATATATATATGCATGCATGAACATAAGACAGTTTGATGAATAAAATAATGCTACACCCTTAAGATGCTCAGAATGTCTCTGACGTATGAGAGTAAGTAGGCTGGTTTTAAATAGATCAACATTCATTTAAAATAAAAGTTTTTTTTTTTTCCTCCTATTAATCAGAAATGTTCTCTTTTATGACTCGGATGCCCGATCACTACGACAGCATTTATGACCTAAACTCATTTACAATACTGTTTCCAAGACGAGCTTCTAGAGAATACGTACAGTACGCAGTGCAATAAATAATAAATGCATGTTGTATTCATTAAATACAATAAAGGAACTATGATATCTTTAAATGGATTGTCTCACTGATGAATGAGTGTGAACTTTTCATATTACTATCCTGAATAAGATGATTTAACTGACCAGCAGAACCAAAGATGGCGTCTTCTTTTTAATTCCACACATTTACATTACCTACATTACCCACAATGCAATTCAACGGCTGACAGAGTGCGTGTTGTGCTAGTAGTGTAGCTGTAGGTTGATATCTGTTTAGAGGCAACCAAAATGCTCCAATCTCTGATCTCGCAAATTTAAGACTTTATACAATATTATTTTTAACATGTGCAGTCGTACTTGAGACCTGTAAACACACTGATGTGTAAAATCAGAGGCGTTTCCCTTTAATGTGGTGAAGATGATGCTGACTACAGCTGTAATAATAAGTCACTTTCATCAGTCAACCTCAGTACGCACGGCAGGGGAATATTTGAAGAAGTTTGCTTCAAAAACATCAGAATTGCTAAATTCTCTTTGAAATAATTGACCGCTGCAAACATCTGAGACTCTAAAGGATGAATCTGGTGAACAGACGTTCTCTTCCGGTTGAAATGATAAGGTGACATTTAGGAAGTGAAGTCAGCTTCTTGTTGTTTTGTTGGGTTCTCTCTGCCAGACTGCGTCCTCCTCTCTGAGGGACGTTGCTGTCGCTCGCTCCGCCTCTGAGCGCTCATGCATTCGTGTCTGATTAATTCACGTGCACCCGCAAATTCACTCATTACCGTCCAAACTGTGCCGTCTGCAGACTCATTGTTGTGCAGGAAATGCTTCATTTCGTGCACTAGCTGTTTGTTTTGGGGTTTTTTTTGGCCTCGTTGTTTGTAGAAAATTGGATTTGATGAGAAACATCACAAAGACAAATAAAAGCCATCTGCTCATCAAGACGACTGATCAAAGTTGATGTTTGAGATTGAACTTGAAATCACACTCGGAGAATTAGCTCCGCACGAATCCAGCCTCTCGTTCTGTCAAGTGTGGATTTCCCCGACGTGTTTAATCCGTTTTATTATTTCACGTGCGACAATCAAACCACAAACAGCCGGGTGTTCTTTAGTGGTGGGAAGGAAATGAGTCGTCAGTGAATAATTTACTTTCAAATATATATATATAGTATACAAGCTAAAGTCACAGCTAAATGACCGCTAATTTTACAGAATATAAAACGTAAGATATTACTTTAGATAAAACGTAATGATTTGACTTATTTTGGTATTTTCTATCTGCTCAAAATCCTGAAGACGGCGACACTTTATGGAGTGGAACATGAGCCAGTTCTTTGTCAGTTCTTTAATTATTTATTTCTTTATTATTTTTTGCTGCAGAGAAGCACCAAGCCTGGATGAATAAATTAAAAAAATGTGCAACATTCTTGTTTTTATAAATCATAAAACATGACTACAGTTTTCAGTGACCCACTTTGAAGTGCCGTCCTGTTAAAAGCTGCAAGCTTTATTTAACCTGGTGAAAGTCTCATTGATGTTATTATTATAAGAAATATAACACAGACAACATGTAGCATAGAGGCCAATCAAACCATAGGATGCTGATATACCTACAGGCTGAACCTACACATCAGAAGAATGGCGTTCATTCCCTTCAGTGGAGTTCCACTGACTTCTAAAGGTTTCTCTTAATTTAACAGCTCGTATCTGTGTCACACGTGTACACTCTGTGACACTGTTGAGAACAAACTACCGGCTCTGTCCAGCGGGGGTCAGTGTTTCCCTGCCTTTTGCAAAGAGCCTCAGCGCCGGCAGATACGACGACTCTCCCGGGTGGACAGCGGGGGAGACAAACGGGAGGAGTATTTCTCTCCTCCACAATGCTGAAGCAAACCCGGCACGTCGTGTCCGTTAGCTGGTTGTCAAAACGCAGCGGCACGGCGATGTCGAGCCCCACACTGTGCACCTGCGTCACCTGCACTGCCCGACAGGGAAAGGCTGTTTAACACTCTGACTGACAAAACATATGCTGCACACCGGCCTCTGAGAGCAGGTGTCATTTGAATTTTTCGGTCCAACACATTTGACATTTCTTAGTAAATGTCAGGTTGAGATTTGGTGCTTCTCATCAGAAAACAGGGTTCTCAGTTAGTGGTATTATAATAAGTTCAATATTCTGCTTTCCTCTCCTGTTAACCATCTAGAGGCCCCTTTAAAAGCATAGGGATGTAGTAACAATGGTATAACTTCTCATTAACTAATACGGTAACTAACCGATTTGTTGTTCTTTCCAGCCATGACAGAACAATGCAAGACATTGTCTACAAGTTGGTACCGGGACTTCAAGAGGGTAAGTGCACAAGAGATCCACTTAGTGACCTTAAGGCTTCCACTGAGTCCTGCTGATGTCGGGTTTATAAATGAATCCTTGTTGGTGAAACCGAGCCGGTTAGTGAGTGACAACTGTTTGAATCGATGTTTAACTTTAAATCACGTTGCACTAAAACTAGCTTAAGAAATATTAAAGTGACAATCATTTTAAGAGTTCATTCTGGATTCCATTTAATTTTTTCTGGAAATGTCTCCCCAGATACCCGGTCTGTAATACTGCAAATATGTAAATATTACAGTACTTTCATCACCATTGTGTTTCCTCCTTTGTTGATGAATTGTGACTTAATCTTCCAGATTGACACTTTAAGTTGTAACTTCTCTTTAAACCTAGATTACATTTAATTCTGTTGCACCAGAGCTTCGAAATGTGTTTCACTATTAATTTTAATCTTCCACTTGAGGAGGTTTAATGAGCAAATTAATTAAGTTTGTCGAAGAAATAACACTTATTGCTTCCTTTGTTTTCATGGTTCTTTCTTTCTGTCTTTCCAGTTGTTCCCTTAAATCAGTCTGCCAGTTGCTGTTCCTCTTTTTCCTTTCTGTGCTGTTGTCTGGTTTTCTATCTTCCATTATTTCGTCCAGCAGGTTTTACTTAAAGTGTTAGAAATCAGAGCTTCTCTGTCGAGCCATCACGAGTACCGTGAGGCTAAATAACTGACTCTTTTAAGCTAGCTAGCAAACAATGCTGAGCTCTTTTATAGCCTACTTACTAGTTTCAGCAGCTCAAAATGTATTTATTTATTCTGATTTGGGAAAGCAAGCATCTCCATAAATGAAACTCTTCTTCATTGTAGTTTAAACTTGGATTTACTAAACACAGATCTGGATTTACTCATTTTAAACCTGCTTTGAATGAATCCTTATTGGAGCAACCCAGCCAACATTATTAGTTGGCTTAGCATTCATTTTATTAATATCTCCTTGTTGTCATTATTGTGCTTAGAAGACCTCATGACGCACGTTTCAGTGCTCATTTTAAAGTGTCGCCCGTCCTCTCTGATCTCTCTCCCTCGCACAGCGGAGATGAAGAAGCAGCGGGAGTTCTATCAGAAGTTGGGGATGGAGGTGCCTGGAGACATTAAAGGAGATCATTGCAACATGAAGACTCATCTAGATCAACGTAATGGTACAGTCCCCCCCCCCTCGGCTGATTCATCTTGGTTCTATCTGGTTGATTATGCAAATTGTTTTCGTGAAGGCAGCTGGATTTGTTTACGTCTCCCTGTTCAACATGACCTTCAGGTAGTCCATAAGAGACACGGGGGCCGCAGCATGACCGGAGGTGTTTACCGTGATCATGTGATGTGAGTGGAAGGTCCTCCAAATACTGGGAGTCAAACAAACCAACAAAGAAAGTCTTAGGTGGCTCTACAACAACACAGACCAACACACATGTTTGTGTACTCACCATGCATTTGTTAGTTTTTCTGTATTTTCGATGAAGTGTGGACTCATCAAAGCTTCTGTATGCCCCCCCCCCCCCCAGAAGGTTTTGATTTGTTAATCGGACTTCACAGATTTAAACTTCTGTCGATCGTCTGTAAAGTTTTCAAGGAGCCAGTTTCCTCTAATCAGCTGAACCCTCTGAAGTCTTTACTCCACTCAGATCTTTTGGTTTGATTCGTACAAAGACTAAGAACCAGAGGCGGGACATTTATTCACAAGGTAGCACAAACACATCGTTACAGAGGTAGGGATACGGGTCTCTGTTGTATATCGAGTTTAAAATACAGCTGGTGTCTGAAAGTATGAGCAGGATGTGAGGCCTCAGGCTGCAGAACGAATGTGTTCATGACTCGACACAACTACAGCCGGTGGAAGAACGGAATATTGTGCAGATGTGCGGCCACCAAAAACGCTCGTCGTCGCCTCGTTCTTCTCATTGTACTATAAAAGAATCATAACGAGCTACATTAGACCACGGGTAACAGCGGAAGCCATTAAGCTGTAGAAAAGAAGGCAATTTGGTGAGTGAGTTGGCTTTTCCGTACCAGGGCCCGGCGTAGATGTGTGCCCAGAGGGCCTTCACGCCGGCAGGCCTAATCGCTGGCTTAATCCCCCTCTCAGATTTTCGGTAATTAAGGCTCAAATGGAAGTGGAACTGCTCTCGCTTGAAGACCGCTTTAGCTACAGCACACACACACACACACACACACACGTTTTAAGGATCGTTTGCCCAGACGCCGACAGAAATAGAAACCCACGCACTCCTGGATTGCATTTCACTGTCGTTTCCATTCAGTGCGCCAAAACAAACGGTAATGACGTCTCCAGCTTTGGGGAGTGAGTCAAGATATTTATTTACGTTTGACACGAGAAAAACTGCAGAAAGTCAAACATGGTTTCGTTTCATGTGGAGGCTCATTGACCAGGAGGCTTTCTCTCCTGGATCAACGAAGAGTTTCGTGCATTTGAAGCTTTTTTTTTTTTTTTAGTTCTGTGTGTTTTCTGAATTCGTTTTCTGAATTCTGGGAAAATAAAGCTGGTCTCTGGGTTGGCATCCAGCTCTGCACATAGGAAGCTAAATCAATACCTACACTATGAAAACAGTGTATATTAATGAAGGAATAACATAATAGAACTAGAAATGATCGTGTTGATAATACGGTATGAAGGGTTCGTCTGATGAAACAGTGCATTGCGAGGGACCTTTCTTCAAAATGAGACTCTGTGATTGAAGGTGCTGCTGCGTTGTGACACGCCACCCACTCACGCATCACCGTTTCATCATGATGGATGGACCAAAGTAGCAGCAGTGTAAGTTGGCTCATATTAGTCCAGACAGTGACTCCAGTCCTTTGGAGGCAAGTCTGAAAACACCCCGAGAGATGAAGATTGAAACCCTGAGGGTTGCATGGGTTCTTGGAGGCGCCATCAAGGCTGTGAGTTGTAGTTACAGAGAACCTGCTGCCCTTACAGCTGCATGAAACTCTAATAACTCTATAAACAATTACACAATCCTGGTATCGGCAGCGTTCTTGTTTTCGTTTGTAGTGCGAGTAGTATCGACCAATCGTGGCAAAAGAGGCGGAAACACAGTGGCTGAAATATATACATAAACTCAAATCCCATCAGCTGCCTTCTGACAAAGATTAAGCTTTTTATTATCTTTTTAATATAACGTACCTGCATTTATATGCAGATCTGTTGACAGAGATTAGCTGTAGACGTTGTCTCTCAACTCCCAAGTCCATTCTGCGTCTCAAGTCGCCAAACTGATTGTAAATAGTGACCAGCTCACGGAAGAGGAGGTCTTAACCCGGATAAAGGTTCTCATGTAGTGTGGACTAATGCCTACTTCGCACTACACGACTTCAGCCCTGATTTTCGCTTGTTCGGTCTTCGCACATGGGTCCTCGAGCACTTTGTGTGAACTGTTCCAAGACGCGAGCCGAGGTGCATCACCGCAGACTCATTCCAGATGTTTAGCATCCTAAGTACCTGGATCTGTTGGGGGGAGCTGCAGAGCCGTTGACAGCGCAAGACACAGAATGAAGGGAACCCTGCCGGAGGGGTTGCCTCACTTGTAGCCAACACGGACCACAGTTGTTGTTGCACCAAGGGTGTCGAATGTTAACATGTTTAAACTCAACACGCAGCACAGTGACTGATCTACATAGGGGTGATAGTAAAGATGATTGGAAACGGGCTGTTATGTGAACATGTGTGCCAACGACAACATCAACAAACACGACTACGCTCTCAGATCTTGTTTGTATATCCAGCCTCCCCACGAGGGCTTCAAAGTAACTTTTTGCTCTCCATTCTGAGAAGATGAGTGCTCCTCATTAGCTCTTATTTAAGAACGGCAAACTAAAGTCAACACGCGGTGAAGCAGAGATCACACGACGCTAACTACGGCGACAACGGGCGCTCTGTTGGTGTTGCCCCCGCCAGCCGAGCTGAACCGCATCACACTTAATTAAAGTCTTAATTTATCCAGATTCCCCCAGAAGTAGAAACTTTCTCTCGGGTCCTCTCTTAACAAGCCGAGGTAAATAAATCTGCATCTGCCACATTGCTAACCGCGTCCTAGTTCCTCAGAGCTGAACGCAGGACCAGAGGAGTCGATGCTGTTAACGTGAAGTCCGACCAACCAGAGCTGGTCGGAGAAACAGCCTTGCTTTTAGCTGAGGTAGAATGCATTCTTTGCGTTTATTCAACAGGAAATTGCTGTTTAAATATAATTTTAATAATTCAACTTTTTCAAAGAGGCCACACATGAGTCGTAAGCTTTATTCACTTTGCTTTTCATACACGGTGAGTTTTCTTCCACCAGCACACAGACTCTGGTTTAAACGCATTAAATGCAAGAAAATGGATGCGATGAGTCTGCTGAGAGCACTTTTTAATCGTATTACTTCTATATAAACTTTAGGGGAGCAAGAAAATATCGATGCACTTCGATGAGTTTTTGCGATATTATGTTTTGTTTTATTTTACCGAATTAAGATCTGAGGCAGGCATCGGTTTAGGTTGCACAAAAAGTAATGTTTTGAAGTTGGATAAATTCAAATGCACATTCTGGTTTCATAAAAAGTAAACTTTTTGTATGCATATAGTTGTGCGTTCTTTTTCCTAAATGTAGATAAAAGATGTCCAGTATATCGCCTTGTTTACAGTATTGTAATATGAATCGTAACACCTGTGTTGTGATATGTATCAGGTTGCCAGATTCTTGCCAGTTTATTTACTCCATCTCATCATCGTACAGGTCTTCATGATTTGATCGTACATCACAGATCCCAAATGAGCGAACGAGATTCAAACTCTTAGAGACGGAGCTCAGCTTTTTTTTTTTTTTTGTAAATCCCCAGACCCGAGCAATCGTCCCATTACCTCCAACACAAACAGGGTCTCCGCCCGTGGTTGGAGTCGCTGAGAGACTCTAGGGTCGTCTGAAGGTGAGCCGCGACAATAAGAGCGAGCTCCTCTTGATAAGCAATCAGTGAGTCTGGAGTCAGGAGACACCCGAGCGGCCCGGACCTCTCCCCGGTAATACTCGGTGGAATTGGTGACAGTTAGCCCGAATGGAAGACAGTCACAGAGGGCTGAACGCAATCCCATCTGCAGCCTGAGCTGAAGTAAACTGTCCTCTCTTTCTCTCTCTCTCTCTCTCTCTCTCTCTCACACACACACACACACACACACACACACACACACACACACACACACCCCATGTTATTACAGCCACTGAATCCAGGACGAACACACTTGAACGTCTTTGTTTTTAAGAGTGTACAGAAAAGCAATACCTATCTGTGCTGCAATTGTTGTCGCCGCGCCGCAATTTAGACTTTGATAACTGAGTTTCATATCTAAAAGGTCAATGCTACTACAATTTTACAGCCAACAAGAAGAATCCATAAAAGATATATAAACACACATGCCGTGGACTACTTTGTAGCAGCTGCTTCACGGGGCTTTTAAACGTTGATCTTCTAAACTAGATTACAGCAGGAGGTGAGACAGCGTGATACTGTGAAACTCAAATATAAGACTTATTTGTTTTTTGTCTTTTGGTTACAAGGATGTGCCTCGAGACACATGCGCTGGTCAATTTAGAGAATTTTGGTTTATTTTAATTAAGTTTTCTTTCAGACTAGTGGAAAGAAAACATCCAAAATACACATCTGGGTGTTTATTTTATTACTTTGTCTTATTGCGTTTGTAGATCTCTCCGTAATTCATCACAAGTTACCATATAATGCCTCATTTGCGTATTTAAACAGAACATTTCAGAAAACTTAATACAAAAAGTCTTAATGTCAGTAATCAACTGTGCTTCATGGTGATATCTATTCATTGATTGTTTAACCCGATTCCCCTGTAGTGTCTTCAAAATGAATGTAATTTTACAAAACGTCTCTTTTCACTCAAAGGAGTTGACTCGTGGCGTACCGCTTCCTTCAGGTTTCTTCCGAACCCAAAGCTCCACGTGGAGTGTTATTAACACGTTACCTTGAACACATGAAGTGTGAGAAACGTATGTTCACCAGAGGGTGCTGCTCTCGCTAACGTCCTCCCACGTCTGCCTCCATTTTCTTGGAAAAAAAAACAAACAGACAAACTTAATGAAGGCAGAGCGGCAGCCAGCCAGCCCTCATGAAGGACAGTGGTCTTTATTCTCTCCTGGTTAGAAGTCGCCCTGTGTTAGAGACGTGCCCAGATGGCAGATACGTCGTATGAAGGACGCTCTGACACCCTCGGACATGTAAATGTAATTACCTTATAACTGGAGCTTTTTGCGCTCCAACAGGCGCAGGCTGTTTAAATACTGCAGAGAGACAAACATGTACCCGACATGTCTTGTATTCAACAGCACCACAGACGTCCATTAAGCTCGAGCCTCTTGAGTCCAGTTAAGGAACATAATGGGCACTCGAGCAGCTGCATTAAGTGTCCTTGAAGTACACGCTACAGATGTGTTGCTTTTACCGTCTACATGTGCACGTGTGTAGGTCTGTTACTGGGCTCCAGTCCAGGGCAGCAAATATGAAAATTGTATTAAAGATTTACAACATGGCGGCTCAACGCTCTTCTTCACTTTGGTTTTCTGCGCAGGCGACGCAAAATCGGAGGTGACGGCCAATAAGGAGGCAGGAGAGGAGAAACCAGAGGAGGAAAACGACTATCATCGTAGCGACGAGCAGGTAAGGCCCACCCCCCTTTTTTTTTTTTCACTGACAAAATTGTGCTCTGCGTTTCCTCTCTCCAGGGGCTTGGTTTGCCTAAATGAGAATAAAGAAAATCTCTGTCCCTTAGGAACAGCTCAAAATTTCCAACTACTTCCGACCAAATGAAATACGACCCGTATGAATTTTACACTGTTGTCAAACCGACATGAGTCAACAGAGATCTGACAGAGCAGCGATCTCTGATGCAGAGGACATGAACCCGGCTTATAGCAGAATACGTAGGATTTTCCGAAAAAAGAACGTCTTGTATAAATAGACTCTTTACAAAAATAATTCCCTGTCAATTATCCAAGAGGAAGCTACGAAAATGACAAACACAGCGCTAAGTGTCTTAAACTTGCATTCTCTCTAGTGTCCACCAGGGGGCGACTCCTCTGGTTGTATAGAAGTCTATGAGAAAATGACTCTACTTCTCTCTTGATTTATTACCTCAGTAAACATTGTAAACATGAGTTTATGGTCTCAATCTCTAGTTTCAAGTCTTCTTCAATACAGCATGATGTTCATTTAGTACATTATGGTCCATTTAGAGTCAAACAGACCATAAAGCAGGGGATGCTTTAGGGCGGGGCTACACGGTGATTGACAGGTCTCTGCTGCTATCAGAGCCGTATACGGCGTCTCTACGTCACTCCTCCGCATTCCAACTATGGTAACTTCCATTCATTGGTTGCAAAAAACAACGGGGCGACGGCCGTATTCCAAGATGGCGACGGCGAAATCGAGGCTTCAAAACAGCAGTTCACAAACCAAAGGGTGACGTCACGACGTCTACGCCCACTTCTTACATACAGTCTATGGAAAAAACACAAATATAGCGAGGTGAAGCGCCAGAGGAGGGGCCAACTTTGAATGTTGTGTTTACAAACTGCAACCAACAAATCCTACTCGTTGTGTCTTTAAAGTTTCCCAAAATTAGAATGAAAAAACAAAACTGCTGACAGCGAGGTCTGAGGATTGAGAGGACATGATAGAGTGCACGGATAGATAAGAGAGAGTGTTAATTTAATGTATTTAAGGAAATTGGTTTATTGTTAAAGGGCTGGTTTGCCTAAATTACAAGGACATTTGGGAGGCAGTGCTCATTGGTTTGCCTTTTAGCAGAGATTAGAAGAAGCAAATTGGATAAAATAATTGTGGGTTACAAAGCAGTCTGTCAGGAATAAAAGCACAGAGGAACAAAAATACTGTTGCTGATAATTGTGGGTACAGTTGCCTTAAAAGCCTGCACATCAATTATTGCCTTTATAAAAGTGGCCCCCATGTGAGTTACCAGTTTTAAAATGACTGGAGTCTTCTGTCTGTGCTGTTGTTACGTCTCTCTGCATAGATCCATTTAGAGACGGACACCACGGAACGCCTTTTAAAATGGAAAACGGGCTTTTCCTGATTTCATTTGTATTCTGGCTCATTACCAAGCTCTGCAGACGGATATTAATAATGCAGAGAGCGGAGGTATTGTTGTTATCACAAACACAAAGCGTCATGTTACACAGGCTGCTGAAGGAAATTGTTTTTTCTTTCTTCTTTTTTTTTAACATAATTTGAGTCATAATTTTGAAGAGAACAAAAACCCAGCAGGGAGATTTCTTTAAAAACAAGCCATTCATCTCCGATCAACCGGCTCTTTGCTGACATGTGGGGAAGGCAGGCCGCCCCGGTGAGGGCAGAGATCTCGCCCTCTGGAAATTCAGCAGCGGTGCAGAATGCGTTCAGAATAACTAATACGGCTGTCTGTGTGAGCTGAATGCAGTCATGTCAAATGTCACCGAGACAGAAGAGGAGGAAGAGGAGGAGGAGGGGGGAAGGATGGAAAGAGACGAGGAATACAAGATGACTGATGAAAATGAGAGATTTGCAGGACTAAAGGGAGAGAAAGACACCATGCACTGCAGGGTGATATGGCGGGATACAAAAAAACAAGATGGGGATAAATGTTGGAGGGATCGAGTGAGTTTGTGGTGAACATTAAGAAGGGGATGTTCGTCAGAGAGAAGGAAATGAGAGGCAGATGAAGAGAACTGTGACGGAAGATGATACAGTATGCCGGAGATGCAACAGAAAGGCATATAAAAGGTGATGATACCTGATGGAGGGTTTTATCCTGATCACCCTCTCCTAGAAACCACTTTTGTGTTGACTTGTAACAACTTTCATTCAGCTGGTCATGGTAAACGGATGACTTAAGGCTGTAAAAGGTCCTTCGAAGCCCTTTTATTTTTTCAGAATGCAGCAACCAGCCCAGATAGTCGAGAGCCGAGAACGTTGTAATAAACTTTATTAGCAAAGCAGAGTTGTGAGAAGATTGGAAAATACAAAACAAGATGGTCCAGAGGAATGAAAGCATCGGCTTCAATCAGGAAGAATGAAGAGAATCATGATTTCACTGCAGACGTAGGAACCAGCAGGTGAACCTGCAGCACATGGCCGACTTCCAGAACGCTTCCCCGCTGTCTTCTGGGCGACCTTTAGGAGTGTAACCTTGGGGCGCGAGGCAGTGCCAGAGAAAACTAATGAAAGCAGCGACACACCAAAAAACGAGTGAAAAGGATCATAACAAAGTCCCAATTAATTGAAGAACCCTACTTTGTCCTCGCAGCATGGGGTAGTGGAGTTTCAGTGATCAGACAGCAACCTCCAGTTCTGAAAAGTGAAGTCAAAGCTGCATTCTCTCTAGTGTCCACCAGGGGGCGACTCCTCTGGTTGTATAGAAGTCTATGAGAAAATGACTCTACTTCTCTCTTGATTTATTACCTCAGTAAACATTGTAAACATGAGTTTATGGTCTCAATCTCTAGTTTCAAGTCTTCTTCAGTACAGCATGATGTTCATTTAGTACATTATGGTCCATTTAGAGTCAAACAGACCATAAAGCAGGGGATGCTTTAGGGCGGGGCTTACTGTGATTGACAGGTTGCTACCAGAGACGTATACGGCGTCTCTACATCACTATTACGCGTCCAAATTTGTTCACTTCTGTTCTCTGGCTGCAAAAAACCAAGATGCCGTCATCAAAAAATGACGAAGTCAAGGCTTCAAACCTGCAGTCTACAAACCAACGGGTGACGTCACGACGACTACATCCACTTCTCACATACAGTCTGTGGTTCTGATGAGTTATGAAAACCTTCAGGCTTGTAAAAGATTCTGATCTCCATGTGGAGAGAAGAGTTTGTGTAAATTTAATAAAACTACAGCTATTTTGGGCTTAACGAGTCTGCTTTGGGGAAATATTCTAAATTATTAATCAAGCCTTGAATTCTACATTTGTTTCTCAGCGGCCACGAACTCCACAGTCTGAGGCAACGCTTTCTCTGTGTAACGCCATAAAAGGCACACGTGATGCTTTCTTGATAGGCCTCACTGTTGCATCAGGCACACGTGTGAGTGTGCATCCAGCTGCAGCAGCAGGACTCTTTGGCTCCATTACATCGCCACTAATGCACGGTAATGTAATGAAAACCCGCCGCGGAGTCCAGATCACCGCCGGGGCTTTTATTTCACATTACCAGCCTCCCTCGTTGGCAGCTGTACATCACGCTGCTGCTCTTTGCTTATAGAACGGCGGCCCGGTGTTTAATAGAGAGCAGAGGGGGTGTCAGAGTCGGAGCAGAAACCAGAATGTTGGTTTTTCATGTCTCAATAGAGAGAGAGAGACAGAGAGAGCTTCTGTCCTCCTCTTCTGTCTCTTTGATGTGTGGGGGCAGCAGATCACAGGCTGTAATGCATTCTGACTCCTGCAACCATCTCCTGCCAAAACCACCTACCGTGTCTCCTCAGGGGAAAGACAACAACAAGAGAACGGGCCAATGGTTGCGGCGCTCGGTCGCATGGAAAGAGAAACGCAAAACAGACAATGCTGGTTCAGTGGGAACGTGCGGTATAATCGGCACCAGTGCCAGGCAGAATAAACCAGATATCACAACACCTTTATAGCCCTTCAGTCTGTTTTCACCACAGATTAGAGCTCATAAGTAACAGCAGACCTGCTGTGTTTTAAGGATCTGCTTAAGTTGCTTATGTTTAGTTCTGGTCTGGTTCCTGTTTTACAAACTAACCACGAGGAGCAAACATGAAGTTAAACAGACTAACTAGTAACTCGTTGATTGGACAGTTTTGCCGATTGTCTTAAACTACAATGAAGACCGTCTCCATCTTGTATTTGGTGCAGACCGTGAGGGCTTTTGTTTCCCACAGAAGGATGCTCAGCGTCGGCTCTCTGCTTTGTGTTTCCTCCCAACAGGTCAGCATCTGCTTGGAGTGCAACAGCAGCAAGCTCCGAGGCCTGAAGCGCAAGTGGATCCGGTGTTCAGCACAAGCCACGGTCCTCCACCTCAAGAAGTTCATCGCCAAAAAGCTTAACCTGACATCATTTAATGAGGTACGGAGAACAATGGGAAACTGGAAAACCACTGCCAGATGTAGTTTCAGGTTTAAACACACAAAGATTCACAGGATTAAGAAACTAATTCAAGAGAAAACGTTTGTGTTTTTGCCCTCGTCGTCACAGAATTATACTCCAACTGAATTACAGTTCAGTGCATGTTAAAGATACAATCGTCTGAGCTGACAACCACGCCATGCTTTTTGTCCAAAGATGGGTTTGTAGCAAACTGGAACAAATCTTTGCGTTTGTTTTTAACTTGTTTGGAAGTTTAGCTCATCACAAGAAATTACATAAATGAATTATACTTTCCCGCACTGAGTCACACGAGGCCCTTTGTGTTATATTTAGCAGGAAACGAGCTCTGATGATATCTAGATGTGGTGATTTTTCTATTTATTGTCTCTAACACAGTGAGGGGGGAGTGGGCGGTAATTTTGACGGATGGATTTTTAGAACGCCGGGAATAATCATCTCAGACGCCTCCGTGTCTTCTGTTTTTTTATATTTTTCGCTGGCTGTCACAGAGATGAGTGGGTGGGCTCCATCATATCGTCGGCCTCCATAGCACAGCCATTGTTGTCTCATCTATCGACTATCGGAAAAGACGTGTTCGCACGGATCCGGTGTTCAGCGAGCGAGCCGAGGGCAGCGCGTTACGACACGGACAACAGAGCGCCATTTACTCACTCCACCGCCGTCGGCCTGTCTAAATGTTCAGACGGGAAGTGAAAGCATCACGCTCGTGTACTTGACGGGAGAAACGCCGTGGATGTATAAAGAGAGAGTCAGTGGGAGCGAGAGAGACGGTGAATCTGAAGGGGATTCGTTTGGGTGTTGAGTTCAACAAGTATCAGCAATCTTTCTCCAGAATCACCGACTCCTCCTTTAATATTATCGTACAATCAATCACTCTATTGTCTGTCGGGCTGCAACTACTGACCATTTACAACGCGTATTAACCTGCAGATTATTTATAGTGAAAAGTGCAATCTCTCCCCTCACAATCTCTTAAGTTGACATATTCAAATTGTTTTGTGCTATCATCAGTCAACAACATGAAGATCTTCTATTTACTCTCACAGAAGACAGAAGAAAGTACTCTTCTTCTGCGGGTTCATCTTGCTGTGATGTAGAACTTTCTGGTTTTTCGAGGGAATTGAAAAGGATCAGGGTTGTTCTGTGTCGTAGTTTTACCCCTCAAGTGTCTTTGACGTTGACACAAAAGCCCCCGTTGACTTTCAGAATCCTCCTAATCAGAGAGGGACAGTTTCCACTGCTGCTGCCTCCCCCCCCTCCCTCTCTCTCCCTCTCCCTCTCTCCCTCCCTGTCTGTCTCTCAAGTATTGATTGGCAGATGCCGATGCGAGGCTCCCCTCAGCAGAATATCAATGCTGACCTCGCAGGGAGAGCGGTAGATTTGAGGAGCCGCTTTGTGTTCAGTATTGAACTCGTGTGTTCTCTCAGAGAGCCCCGCCGCTGCACAGGAGCCACACTCCATGTCCACATGAGCCTCCTGTCCAAGAAACAGCCCCGGTATCACTCACACTGAGAATAAGAGCAGAGAGGGGCAGCGTACAGGAGGCGGAAGTTCTTTTAATTTCTGCCTCACAGCCTGAAAAGTCAGAGGTGTCCAGCCAGTGATTGTCTTAGTGTAGTCGTGTGGTTCAGTTCAAACACTCACCTGTTCAATTATTTGATTTTTTTTGTTGTTGTTTGTCACAGCTGGACATTTTATGCAACGAGGAAATCTTGGGAAAGGACCACACGTTGAAATTTGTTGTTGTGACAAGATGGAGATTTAAGGTAAGACATCAAAGACATGAATATTTTTGGTTTATTTAATGTGGCGATAGTTCTGTGTTGCCTTCTGAAGAACAGTGAAACATATGTTGTGTTGATCGGCATGTCTGAGTTTATCAAACTAGGACAATTTAGAAAATGTATTGAATGTGAAACCCTCTTTGAGGCTCTCTGGGAGCATCTCTCTTACTGGAGCTGCTTCCAGACTGCTGCAGCTTGACGGGCGTGTGGTCTCACAGCTCATGCTGAGGTTGTGCTTTTGTCTCCCCCCTCCAGAAATCCCCCCTCCTGCTCCATTACAGACCTAAGATGGATCTGCTGTAGCTAAAACGGACACAACGGTTGTTGTTTTTTTGTTGTTGTTTTTTTTTTTTTGGGCCCAGTGGCCGCGGACTGATGCCGAAAACCTTTTTATTTATGCAAAGACGATCAACCAACACCAAGCAAACGCCCGACGGTAAAAGTCAACACGAGCCAGCAGCATCGGGATCTAAAAAGAGGGATGGGTGGGGGACAACTACCAGAGAAACTGGCAACCTCCAGCACAGATACCGCAACACTGGTCTGTTTTTTTAGGGACTAAAACAACCTCTTTTTTTTTTTTTTTGTCCGCTACATCCTAGATATGTGAACAAAACGAAAATGAAAAAAACAAAAAGAAGACTAATGGAGAGAAAGCATATATTTATACTTTTGTACAGAAGAGACACATGGAAGCAAGACACTACTGGTGCTCTGTTTACACCCAAACAAGATGTCGGGAATCACGTGACCGTCTTTTTTTTTTTTTTGAGCTTCGTGCAGATTTCATCCTCCTGAGACAGTGACTGCGAGCGGAGGACGAACCTTTTTCTTTTATATATACTTTTGTTTTCCCTTTTTCTCCAACAATACACTCGACGCGTCTCGGGAGCACAGAACATATACGGAAAAGTTATATAACAGGCATCACTTTTAAGCTGTTTATCAAGTTTTTTCTTTTTTTAATTTGTCATTTTGTTGGCTTTGTCTGATTTGCTATTGGGTTCTTTGATGATTGTCAATTGTGAATAGGCTGAAAATTTTGTGTAGTAATTTATGTTCTATATACCAATATTGTACATAAAATGTCATTACAGACAGAGAGAGAGAGAGACTGAAGAGAGTAAGAGAGACTTTAGACTGTTAAAAAGAGAGAAGAGTGGATCCCAGAAGTACTATCTATATGTTGGGCCATAAATTAGGATTTTTAAAGACAGACTCGCTATCGGTATCAAAGTATATAGAAGCATCTTTATGTTGTCTGAGAAAGACACAAAACAAATATATCAGATCCTGTCTGTGGGGTCTGAGTATCTCACTTTGCTCTCACAGCATCACAAGACTTTAAACCCCCCCCCCCATGCTCATCATCTCACCTGTTTTTTTGGGACACCGTTATCAACCAACTCTGTCGCAACACAAAACGCTCATGTTCAAAAAATGCCTGCAACACCTACAAATGCAATATTTGGGCAGAGAGCTCGTTCATTTTGGTAGATCTTCACACCGTGAAGTGCTTATTAATATCCATCCTCAAACACTGACGCACCCGCATGTTTACGGCCCCTTCACACCGAGCATCTCACTCCGCTACGTTCTCACTTCTCAAAAGCTGCAATAGAAATGATTCCTTTGTTTTTTTGTAAGTTGTGAAACACAACAACGGTCTCAAAAGACAACGTGGAGATGCAACAGAGTACAACATCTACGCCTGTTTGCCCCAAAATTTAACCTCTGGTGTAAAGTGTGAACACGTCCTCGCCCACTGGAAGTGAATCTGCATGTTTAAGTTGAGAGCAGAGTCTGATACAGACACCAGTTCATGTCGATGACGTCTCATCGTTGTGTTTTTGGGTATTTTTCAGTTCCTTCTCACTGCCGGTCGGAGTCGCAGACGTGCAAAGTGTTTAAGAGAACTTCTGAAAGTCAAGTTGATATCTTTTTTTTGGCACAAAATCTGTACAAAACTTGGATTGTTTTTTTAAATTTTATTTTGCAGGACAGCCAGTGTTCAATATTATTGACTTCACAAGACACAAATTTCTGAGTATTTTTGAGAACTCGCAAATTCAGGTTTTCGCACAGGGAGTGTTTTTTTGAGCATTTTGATAATGACATTCTGAATTAAATGACTACTGTTCTGGTCATTTGGTGCTTCTAAATGTATGTTTCTAAAATGTTCTGTCAAACGACGACATGTCTTTACTCGCAACATTCAAAGCAGACTTGCTGAACTGTCTTTAACGTCGACCACAACTGGATCCGTGAACGCCGCGTCAGACCTCAAGTATTACCTCACTGACTGTCACTCACCCTCTGCATTGTATCTGCCACTACAAGCCGTCTCATGTGTGTTCACATGCAGGGTTCCTGTGCATCACGAGGCCCCCAAATGTCTGGCAAAACATATTCATTTGACAACTTTCTTTGAATTTGGACAACAAATCTGAACTGTATGACACACAGACTTCTATGAAAACCTTCTTTTCATTCACAGAATTGTGATATTTGCAGTTTTATGTGGTGAGCTTCTGGCAAAGTCGTTTGAATTTGAGATCTGGAGAAATTTGGGGCGTGTAGATGTATAGGAGCCCTGCCTCATCAGGACCTACGTTTGTGTTAAACGGAGGTTTTATAGCCGACAGGTCTGTACCGAACCAGCTCAACCAAAACTCCTCCTGCTGTCTCTCAGTTCTCTTCTCACGGTGACCGTTGTGTTTCACCCTTCACCCAGCGAGCTCTGTAAAGTGTTCATTGTTTTTGGTTGTCATTTTTTTGGTCCCTAAAATCGTGGAAAGTGTGGGTTTAAGATGACGGTACACCTGCTTGCAGGGTTAGAGGAAAAAATGATTTGAAAACTATACGTTTCAGCAGAAACATTCTGCATTTTTAATCGCGTTGGAGTTTTGTGATTTCTCCTCGTTTTTCTCTGCTCATTTATTTCTGAAAACATTTTGTGATTGCAGCAGCTAACAACGTCTCGATGAGTAGAAACGGACAGAGAACTAAAATCTGAAATTCATGTTTTTTACCCAGGTAAATGGAGCTTTTTCTGGGGATCCATGAGTAGGAATGGAGGATAATAGTCACTCAGGGAGGAGATGTCACTAAACCCTAAACACTGTCCCTTTAAAAATGATTAAAAACCAAAAACAATGAGCCTCATCAGCTTGTCAGTTCATGGAAGAGTATTGTGTTGGAACTTGTTGAAAATAATAATAATGTCAAATTGTGCGCGATGTCTTTGTGCAGACTTTGTCATTTGAAGGCTGAGACGCAGGTTATCTCACAGAAATAAGACCAACGTTAAGTAAAGTTAAACACACTCACAGTGATTTTGGTTTTGTTCCTCCCAACTCTTCATGTTATTCAAACATCTGGAACTTCAGTTGTAGATCTTTCTCTTCAGAGTCCTCGTCACGTTGGCGTTTTGTCTCCTCACAGTTCTGAAATCTCTTAAAATGTACAGAAGCGTTTTCCTCAGGTGGTTTAGCTGCAAAGCGCCCGACACAAAGGTGCTGCTGGAACGACGACTACCAACACAAACGGATGTCATCAACACACACACACACACGTCTGTATTATGCAGGACGACTGGCATTTAAACACAGTTACATCCGTCCTTTTTCTTTTCACCCGTTTTGCTGAACGTTTTCTCGTCCTTTTCTTAAATCACAGATGGATAAATATGTTACCTGCATGGTGAAAGTGACAAATCGGTTGCAAAAGACAAAACGTACAAAAATATTTCAATCAAATTCTGCAGAACTCGTCTGCAACTCGTCCTCCACCAGAACTAAAGTAAAACATAATTATCTTTTCGCAGCAGCCTGCAGATTCTTTTTCTTGTACTTTAATACATTTGACACAAAGAGACAAAAAAAGTAACCTGATGTGAGAGACTTTGAACAGGAAACGCTGCAGTGTGAACAAAGCCTTTCACTTGTGTGATTAGATGTTTTTGGGGAAGGACGGGGTCTTTGCCACAGTTAGAAGTAGTCTGTCTCTGGCGCCGGTGCTTCCTTTGGTGCTAACAGCTCCTCGTTCAAACTTCTTCAACAAAGATCCAGTCAGAGACAGAAGAGCGCTGTGTTGCAAAGTTCTCCGTCACCTTTTCTTCTGTTTGCACTGAACGTGTTGGTGCTCGAGTCGTCGGTGTCTCGCTGTGCAGATACAGAAGGTGCTGGCTTCTTAGATGTGTTGGGTTTGGTTTACACACTTGTTCTGGAAAGCAAAGGGGGGGGGGGGATTTTAATAAGTCTGATGCTGTGAAAAAATAAAAGAGAGACCTGGTGAGGAATCTGGGGTGTGAGCTGCAATTTCCTGCCTGTAAGAGAAGCTCACTGTTATTAAAGGCGGCTCTGGTGAGACGTCTGCAGATTCAGGTTTAAGGGGAGACACTTCAGCCAAAAACATGATAGTTCATGAGCCGGTCAGTTTAGAGATTTTGGTATTTTTCCAGACTAGTGGAAATAAAACATAAAAAATACACATTATGGTGTTTATTTTACTACTTTGTCTTTTTGTGTTTGTAGATTTCTCCTAAATTCACCAAAAGTTACTATTAGATAATGCCTCATTTGCATATTTAAACAGAACATTTCAGAAAACTTGTAATACAAAAAATACTCCTCTTAATGTGAGTAATGAAGTGGTGAAGTTTGATGGTGATATCTATGAGTTCATGTTGTGACCCTATTCACCTGTAGAGTCTCTAAATGTCTGTAATGTAACTAAACGTCTCTTTAAAGGACGTTTCCTCTCAATCAGTTTGTTCTCGGACTCTGATCCAGAAATCTCCACATTCACCAAACTTTACACTTTCATTCCTCTCTGTGCTCTGAAGGTTAACACAGAGGGGTTTGTTCACACAGCATTCATAACCTCATTTATACAACATTTTATTCGTAAAAACATGGAGAAAATTGATTTCTAACAGCTGTGGTTGTTGTCTGATAAAAAGAGAAACCTTAGACTAATACTTCAACAAAATGAAATAATTATGAACCTGGCTTTATCCAATGTTCAAATTAGCACATATTTAATATGTTAATGCCTCATATGCGTATATAAGCATAAAATCTCAGAAAACTTGTGATACAAAATATAATTGTTTTAATGTAAGCGAACAACTGGGGAAGTTTCATGTTCTTTTAGCCTGTAGTGTCTCCTCTTAATATCCCCAAAGTTCTCTAGACCTTCTCACCAGAGTGAGCGTATAAATCAAAATCGGCATTGAGACGTCAGCGGCGCTCCACAGCCGAGCTAAGAGGCTTACAGGAGGCTCCGCCCCGCCTCGCTGCAGATAGGAGGACGGTATCGTGGGTCGGTATCGTGGGAGGGTATCGTGGGAGGGAGGCCGTGGTCCATCAGAGCTGCAACACTTTGACCCTGAACACCTCGTCAGCCTGTTTTTGTTTATCTCCTGCTCGGATCCGCGTGAGGCCGTCGTAGTTCAGACGAGCACACGATGCGTTCTCCTCCGTACACACAGCCGTCCCTACAAGTTGTGCTCTGAAGCTTCATTTCAAGCTTGTTGGCAGCAGAAATAATTCCCGGCAACTTTAAGAAAAATGGTCCTTCTCTGTTCACTCCACTGTAATAAGTGTCCGCTCCGGGAGCGTGATAGCTTTGTTGCCCAGCTTCGAACGCTCTCTTATTTCAGAGTTCTCTGCAAAGCTCGGTAATCTCACGGGCAGGCGTGTGTGTGTCTGTCTGTGTGTGTGTGTGTGTGTGTGTGTGTGTGTGTGTGTGTGTGTGTGGTAGAGAAGGAGACCTCGAGGGTCACTCAGACTAAACGTGGACTAAAACACACTCCACACAAACTGTCTGGCCGCTGCAGCCGACGCCTGCTCGCCTCTGAAAAGCGCCAAGCTCAAGTGCACTGAGTCACGCCGCCGGTTTGAAGAGCAGACGGGTGAATGACGGATCGTTCACTTCAGGACCGGGACCGCTGCGTTTAGAGGTTGTGGGATTCGGTGAAGTCCTCTTTCAAAGACGCACGGGTTCGAAAACGTCTCCTTTGACTTTCGTGGACTAGATTGACAGCTACCAAACCTCGCCCGCATGAGCCATATAGCAGATGTCATCAATAAATCTTTTCTTTTATTGTTATTTATTTATGCTGAAAAGTGACTTTTGCTGTCGTTTTGAGTTTTGCTCTCGTGTTTGCTCAAATTTGTATTTCTATCTTTTTTTTTTTTTTTGGAACTTGTACCGAACTCATTATGAACTGAACTCCCTTTTTGTATTATTCCAGATGTGTTTGTCTCCGCAATGCTCCGTCTGTGTATAACAAACACAGAGGTGTCTTCTTTTTGTTTTAGGGTCAAGCGCAAAAAAAAACAAGATTTAAAAAATGAACTGATGTGAATCTGGCAATGTGGTTCTTGTATTTGCAAGGACGATGTGCAATATACGGTTCTCCGACGGTTCCAGGTTCCAGCGTAGAACATTTGGTGTTTCACTGTTTTTCCAGTCAGCTCCTCAGGTCACTAAATGCCTTCTGGTCCTGAGGGTGACCAGGAAATCTCAGAACATACACTAATGCACCCGAAATATACAAAACGACTGGATCTTATTTTAGCCTCGTCTCTCTCTCTTTTCCTTCCTCCCCCCTTTTTTATGTTATTTTCTCAGACTTTTTTATTTTCAGGTTAACAGGCACTTATTCAGGTGTCTCCTTTCCCTCGCCTCCTTTTGTATTATTGTTATTTATTGCACATGTTATGAACTGGTTTCCATTGCCACATTGAATTTAAGAAGATTTGGGGGTCTAGAACTGGGCTGGAATTTCTTACATACAAAACTACAGGAGCTTTTGTCAAAACCTAAGTGTGTATTTCATCAATAAATGCCTTTAAAAGTGTTCCTGGCGCTGCGGTGACTCTTTTGTACGGCAACACACATATTTAACAGTACAAGTCCTGTTATCATATAGTTTGATAGAACCGTTCATAAAGCTGTTATGACCTGCTGTAGTTCTTCTTCACATTGAAACAGTTTAACAGTGTAGCACATTCTCGTTATGAACGTATCATGTAATTAGAAGTAAACAGATGCTATTCAATGGATAAACAAACATTTGCTGCTCTCCCAGGTTGTTTTTACACTATTTCTACCACCACGTCCCTCTGGCCTGCCTTGTGATTTTGAGCTCAATTGCTCTTTTATGATTTGTATTCCTGAGAGTTCACCTCATATATTTAATGAGTCAAATAAAAGTCAGATAACTAAACAAAGTTAAACAATAAGGGATAAAAACTGAACCGTCTGTAGTTTGGTTGGAAACATCTACTGTACAACAAAGGCAATATTTATGACTAAGATCATGCATGTGATCAAGACATTTGACTTCATCATATTGTTTTCATGTATCCGGGGTTTGAAACTCGCTGAAGTTTTGCTTTGGCAGGATTCACCACAGCTTTAGATGTCAAACAGTTACTCCGAGCAGATTAAAATAATGGATTCTTTTTCAAACACAATTTCACACATAACTGGTGTCGAGCGTGACGGTCGAGGCTGCTTCACAGTTATCAGGTGTTTTATACTCGGAGCTGCTGCTGATGGATTTTCCCCGGCATCGCCGTTAGAGCAAACTATGTACGTGGAACTGACACAGTAATCATGCAATACTTGATAATTCATTTGAAATGATAAATACACGACTTCATGTTTGCCCCAATGGGCCCTCCCGGGGTGCAGGACCGGAGGTTTCATTCGCTGCTCAGTGTGAGGAGAAACGACTCTCAGAAGACCACGTGTTGTTTGTTTTCTCGGGACCATTAGATGGCGGCTCTTTCAGTCGGTATCTGTGGGCGCAGAGCTCAGATGTGTGAAATGAGAAGAGGGGAAACCGTATTATTGACTCATGAACCAAGTCCATGGTGTGGAGACTGTGGCTGTGTCCTTTTTTTATTTCCACTGGCGTTTTACCACATGGTGTTACGACGCCAGCAGGGGCAGCGAGAGGCAGTTAATCAGGACGAGACACTAAAAATGGTGTTTTGATGATGTAATGCTGTGGTTTCCGATCTTTTTAGCTTATGACATCATCAAAACAATGCAACATCTGCTTCTGACCCTTCACGATGGGTTTCTCATATTGTTTTGAATGAGTTTTAAAAGCTTGAAGATGCAAAATCCTCATTGTTATTTTACCAGGCGGCAACTTCCTGTTCTGAGAAGTGAAGTCAAAGCTTCATGTGTTAAAGCTGTATTCTCTCTAGTGTCCACCAGGGGGCGACTCCTCTGGTTGTATAGAAGTCTATGAGAAAATGACTCTACTTCTCTCTTGATTTATTACCTCAGTAAACATTGTAAACAT